ATGGATAGATAGATAGATAGATAGATAGATAGATAGATAGATAGATAGATAGATAGATAGATAGATAGATAGATAGATAGATAGATAGATAGATAGATAGATAGATAGATAGATAGATAGATAGATAGATAGATAGATAGATAGATAGATAGATAGATAGATAGATAGATAGATAGATAGATAGATAGATAGATAGATAGATAAGCAGGCAGGCAGACTAAATGAAGATATACAAAAACTTTATTTAAAAAAACATTTATACAAAATTTACACAATCAAAGGTGAATATTTTGATCCTTACAGGCAGAGTGCAGCTGATTTAAGAAGTATTGTTTTGGCTTTGACATCTAAAAGGTTCAAATGTTTTGTTTTTCCATCACTTGTCATCGTTAAGACGTGTATAAAGAGCTGCGGTGTTGCTCAGGGAGTCTTTGCTCTGAATGTAAGAAAAGTCCCGCATCATTCCCGGGAATGAGTCCAGAGGTGGGCGCAGGGTCAGCAGCGGCATCAGTCCTGAGGTCATGTAAGGGGGCAAGAACCCACCGCTCCCTGGGGCCAACCGCAGAGGACCCACACCCAGCCGAGGGCCGAGCCCATACAGGCTGTCTCCACTGGGGTGTGGGGGCCCATGGAGAGGGGAGAAGGCGGACTTACTGGCCCCCAGAGTGCTGAACGCTCCCGGCAGAAGCACAGAGGGCCTGAGGAGACCGGAGGATGACATGGTGCCAGAGTCCATTTTATTCTCCTTGGAGCTCAGCACCAGCTCGATGGACTTCACAATGTCCCCCCTGCACGTTCTCACCATAGACTCCAGCGTGTCCCGCCTCTGATGGGGGAAGATCTTGGCCATGATGTCGGTGGGGTCACGGTCCAGGCTCAGGCTGGGACAGTCCTTGGGTTTCTCCGAGTCGCTCCCAGACTCCTGATCAGAGGAGGAAGGTGACATCTGTGGGCTCTGTGTAGGGTCTGAGAGCGGGGATGGACTCCCACCCTCACTGGGGGCAGAGGCGCTGGTGTCTTTGCTTGGAGACATCGACTTGTGGCTTGGAGAGGGCACTCTGGCGCTGGGGGACACAAACAGTGGTTGGCCCATAAATCCGTTGTAGAAGTTGAATTTGCTCACTTTGTCATCTGGAATGTGGATAAAAGAAGAAAGAAGAAAAAAAAAAAACACGTGGTTCTTAAAACGTAGTTGTGCGTAAAACATGGATTTTACGCACAGCCATCTGGCATGCGTAAAAACCAAGCAAATCACGCATCACATTAAATATTGTTCAGATAATTTAATGAAGTTAATAAGCGAAGTGAAGATCTTTTTTAGACAAAACCCTCCAGAATATTTAACTTACCCTCTTTGTCATTCTGGGCTCCAAAAACTTCAAAACTCGGAGCGGTCGGAGAGGTAACCGCAGCGCACCCGTGGCCCAGCGGGGATCCCTGACTCATCCCAGCCTGGCCCCCGATTCCGGAGCCGGGGTACAGGAGCCGGAGCTCGCGCGCTTCGCTCTCCTCCTGCGCCTGCTGCCTCCTCAGCGCCACCTGCGCCGCCATCACCCGCTGCCTCTCGGCGATCAGCGTGCACTTTGCGCACACGCAGTCCCTCCAGCGGCAGAAGCGCTTGTGGCCCTTCAGCGCCGACACCACGCCGTGGTTCCTGCACCTGGCGCACTTCGGGGTCCGCGGGTATCCCCTCTCCAGCGCCGGGTTGCAGGCGCGGAGAAAGAGAGGCGGGTGGCGCAGGAGGGAAGGGGCCATGGGCAGGCTTCCGAGCGCGTTGGTGGAGTGCGCTGCCATGGCGAGGGGTCTGATCCTGCTCTCCATGGGCTGACAGAACAAAATAAAAAAGTTCTGGAATGGTGCAGTATAACTGAAGTGTTGCTAAATTGGCCTTCTCTGTGCGCTCTGCGCTGGCACCCTGAACCAGCGCCTTAAGTTCCTCCTCACCAGGTGGTTTGACATGAAACACAACACCCCCGCCACACCCCTTTCAGCTCAAGACTCTTAAGACCCTATCATGTTTATTTGCATCCCGGATGAGTAAGGGTCTAATCTGATGCAACTGAGCATGCAGGGTAACTTTAGGCCTGTCCAGACCTGAATTTATTGCCTACTTACACTCAAAAAAGTGCCACGGTTGGATTTAATCAGATTTACATTACAGTTTAGTTCAAATCAGGCCAGAGTGGCACAAGTAGAACTATTTCCAGTGAGGAAAAACACGTCACCTCAGGTCAACTTCATACAATGACTCCCTCTGGTTTCCTGAATGTTTACTGTTTGGGTTTTTATTTTTTTAACTCAACAATGGCCCTAACAGCCACAAAGGCAGCGTGTAATTATCTACCTGGTTATTCTGTTGAACAAATTATCTCCACAAAAGACCCATCTGCCAACAAACACCCCATGTCATTCACAGGTAACTAATCACACCTTGTCACTTTTCATTCAACCTCCATTCATTGGAGTGGGATCCAGTTACACGCACCTGAACGCCTCACCGTTTGAAACACAGAGGCATCACCGAAGGCAACATAACTGCAAAAACTGCTATCAATGCATTCAAGCAGACGCCCAATTAATGGTGCAACAGCATCCCTGTGTTTTCAAGTAGGTGGGTGGTGGTGGTGGTTGGGG